ACAGCGGCTGCATGATTTGTTTGAAAGGCCAATACACTGACTTGCAGTTGTAAGTAAGCCAATTGTTGGCTCCGCAAGTCACCGAGTAAGCCGACAACGCATGAGGGCGCATTCATAGTCGGTCGTCCGATCGCAACGATCGCACAACGTTGGATGCGTATCGATCTTATAATCCTAGGACACGTCTTACAATCGATACGCATCCAATGCTCTGCGATCGTTACGATCGGGCGACCAACTATGAATGTGCCCTAACCAGTGAGGGCTACTGTGTGGCACATCGCAGAACGGATCTGATCAACATCGAGTGCTTTTCATTGAATTTAAACTCAGAATGAGATAGCTAACTTACAGCAGTCACCACAAACATGCTTCATTTAGCAGCACCTATTACCTATGTTTCAGATGACGCAACTTTAGCTTACTTTCACCTATGATTTTTGGTTGATACGTAATCTACTGAGCGGCTTGTCAATCAGTTGTCCGCAGATGCGCTGAAGTCAAAAGCGTCTATGAAGAGCAAGAATTTGATCCCTCAGCTTAATGCTGCAGACCCAGAAACCTGATGAATATGGGGGGGGGAGGTTTCTTCCTAAGCGGCTCATGAAGGTAGAATAGGAAAGGGACGTAGATGTATGGTCCACCCAAGGTGTAAACATTTATTTAAAGCTCATTATGCCTAACAACCTTTAAGGCACTCTTCCTCCCTCGGCAGTACCCTTGCGCTTGAATTATGAACAGAAGACAGAAAAGACGAAAATCGTTGAGGAAGATGGAAGGAATAAATGGAAAGAGACGAAAAAAGGCCAATGGTCAAGGAAGGAGAGAATACTGATCAGATAAAACGGAGGGAAGCTAATTTAATAGCAGAGCACAAATGGTGGAACGCAGTCCATTAAAAATTGATTACTTTCAGCTTTCAAGAAGGAAGGTTCAAGGACGGGAAAGAAGGAAAATAGAGGGAATGATACCAAAATAGGAAAACGGAAATAGCGCATAGAAAAGACAAATAAACTGAGTGAAAATGGAATGAACTGAAAAAAAAAACTGAAGATGATGGAAACAATATGGAAGACAGGGAAGAAAAAAACCGATGAAGAAAGCTGCGAAAAGTTCCGGTCGATAGGCAACTCGAAGGCGAAGAAAGCAAGATGAAAAAAGCATCTATACCAGCGCATAACCATGTATGAACAAAAGTTGGCTACATCCACGACCAAACTGCATTTAGGCGTGAAACCAAGTGTGCCGCTGTTGACTTCACGCAGTGCATTTGAAAAGGAGGTGTTGACTGTGCAATAAGTGGCAGTCGTTACGCCCCTTTTCCCCGACAAATATTACATGGCTGGGCCTTTTTTGCCAAATAAAATTACGTACGTACCCAGACTCTTTTTTGCCCTGCGAAAGTTTGGATTGCTTGTTGGGATGAACTACTGCGCTGCGATGCCCTTCCCTCCCCCCCCCCTCCCGCACTTCAATACACCGGTGCTAGGAGGCAGTTTGATGGAATGGC